ATGTTGCTCTCTCCACCACTGAGAGTGAATACATTGCTGAAGCTCTAGCAGTACAAGAAGCAATTTGGTAAACTCGATTGCTTACAGAACTTGGGATTGAAGGTTTTCTTAGGAAGCCTATTCCTATTTTTGCAAACAATAATGGAGCAATTGCTTTGGCATTAAATCCGGAGTTCCATGCGGCAACTAAACACATTGCCATTCGTTATCATCGACTTCGTGAAGAAGTCGCAGCTGGTAATGTGGAATTCATCAAAATCCCGACAGCCGAAATGGCTGCCGATGGTCTTACAAAACCCCTCGGCAAAACAGTGTTCAAGCGGTGGGTTGCACAAGTAGGCCTAACAGCCTATAAAAGCAACCTGTAGTTTTGAATTCTGGTTTACACACAGAAAAATGGGGGTTTCTTTCAATTAACAAACTGGTTTTTTCATGGAGAAGAAGGGTCTTGCTATGCAGGACGACTACATACTAGTCGTGGGGGGTGTTAGAAGTCACATGACTTCTTTGTTTGCTCCTAGTACTTAGTCTAGCTAAACCTGTAGATAGCTTCTCTCTTCTACAACGCATCCAGAGATCTCCAGTTTCATCTACAGCTTCATTTGTAGACTGAATATCATCTCTCTCACGGTGGTTCCGGTATATCCTCTAGAGCAGGAGAGGCTGTGCAGAACGAGCGATTCCGCGACTGCGTCGAGATATCGGTCAATATTGCGACTAGACCCGGCGTAGCTGCTATAACTAGGGGCTACCTAAGATCCAGATTCTCGCCACAAGACGTTGCCCTGGTATCTCTCTTGCCCAGAGGTCTGGCAACAGTCGCGTGTTCAACTCCGCCTCTGAATCTAAACCGTCTTTGGTTTCGGGACCTTGGTTCAAATTTCAGCTCTTGTGTAATCCTCCCACAAGTCATTGAGGCCTATCTCCGTTCAGAAACGGAGAAACAACGCCTGCCAGGCTCCAATTGATAATTTGCAATACCTTATTTTGCTGAAGACAATCCTGTCATTCATTTTCAAGATGTTTGTTTAAAAATCCAGTTTCCGTAGGAGGGAAGGAACGGTGAGGGAGTATTGGGAATTTCCTGGGACCGAGCTCGTAGGGGTCTGGGGTATATGGTATTTATAGTTGCTGAAGTACTTCATTTGAGCTGACTAGGTGACTAAGTGATTAAAGGTACCACGTCAGTTTAACTTAACTGCTCCTATTGGCAAACTGGAGAAAGGGAACTATACTAACTGATCCCTTTCTATAAAGAAGATTTTTGATAGAGATTGCACTTACCTCCTTTGCCTTGATTGATTTTAATAACTTGGCATCATCTCATAGTATCGTAGGAAGTTAGCCGTCTCTATACGTGTTACAGTAACAGACTGAAATAAAGTAGGCTCACCATGATCGAGTAGATAAATAGTTCTAATCAAATTTAACCATGTAGATAAGGCCCATGGTTGGAAATCAGAGACATTTGCTCCTACAGATTTCTAACGTATGATATATGCATTGCTTCATCTAGCCCAAAATATATGTCTTCTTTTCATAGAGACTCCAATTTTTCGGTTGGAGCTTCCAAGGGCCCTCTGTTTCACACATAAGCTCAACCAAGGCCACAAATGAAGAGAAAGAGGGAAGATGTGCTTGAATGGCAGCCCCCAAATTCATTACCAGGGAAATGGGGCCCCAAGACCCCGATGGAAGGTAGTGACAGTCCACCTACCACCTCTTTTGACGCTACCGGTAAAGCTGTTGCTCCCATTAAACCCATGGTTGCCTCCAGACTTGCATGCCCGGTCGATGATGATTCAAAAATGTTATTGAATACGTGAGGTGAATCGGAACGGTCGGGTGCGGTGGAATCCGGAATATTGGGCTGTCATGGACCTCTCCCTTCACTTCTTTTACGTTCAGTATGCAACAAGGGTTGCCACCGTAAGACAAGTCCTCTTTTCATCTACCCGGCATTGTGGAGAATTTCCAACACTGAATGTTCAAATCCCAAAATGCCTGATAGCCCGACAACCAATTGGAGGCCCGGTGGTGCTTTGACGAATTTGAAATGCTCAATTTTGCTATATACATTATATTATGGCATTCCTGTAGTTTCAAAGACCCTTCGAGTCATGTTTTCAAAGCTTAGACTTCATGTTCACATGGATAGCCTTGATATTCGAATAAGCAGCAAGACCAGCCTCTCCAAGCTCACGCCCAATACCGGACTGCTTCACGCCGCCGAACGGAATGCGCCAATCACTATCATTGCTAGAGTTGATCCAGACCATACCAGCCTCAATCTTCTTAGCCACGCGATGCGCGCGAGTCAGGTTAGTCGTGAACAGCGCACTTCCAAGACCATAGGTCGAGTCATTGGCCATTTCAATAGCGTCCTTCTCCTCGCTGAATCGGGTAATTACCACGAAAGGACCAAAGACCTCCTCTTGGTAGATCCGCATCTTGGGCGTCACATCGGTGAAGATAGTAGGCTCAACGAAGAAACCCTTGCCATCACCGACGCCAGTGAAAGGCTTACCGCCAGCGATCAGAGTAGCCTTCTCAGACTTGCCGATATCAATATAAGACATGATGCGGTCATACTGAGCCTGCGTCACCTGAGGGCCCTGGAAGGTCGACTCCTCAAATGGATCACCGACCTTGGAGACATTCTTCACCTGAGCTTTGAATGCCTCCAGGAAGCGGTCGTAGATCTCGTCCTGTACCAAAATGCGAGAGGTGGCTGTGCAGATCTGACCCTGGTTGTACATAATACCGAGATGTGCCCATTCAACGGCCTGCTCGAGGTCTGCGTCATTGAACACGATCAGTGGGCTCTTACCACCCGTCTCGAGGGTGATGTTCTTCAAGTTAACGCTAGCCATCTTCATAATTTGCTTAGCTGTTGCCGTGCTGCCTGTGAAGGCGATCTTGTCCACATCCGTATGCGAGGCGAGCGCGGCTCCGGCCACGGCGCCATGCCCGTTCACAATGTTGACCACACCAGGAGGGAAGCCGGCTTCCACGATCAGGTTGGCAAGGAAAAGGATCGAGAGGGGGGTTTGCTCCGCTGGCTTGAGAACCACCGTATTTCCGCAGGTGAGGGCGGGGCCGAGCTTCCAGGCGGCCATGGCAAGAGGGAAATTCCAACTTGTGCCATAGTTAGCAACTGGCTGCAATTTTTAAATGACAGGTCTTCGGGACTTACGGGATGATTTGGCCACAGACACCGACGGGCTCCCGCACGGTGTAGGCGAACTTATCCGGGGTTGTGTCGATGACTTGGCCAAAGACCTTGTCGGCATATCCGCCGTAGTAACGAATTGTCTCGGCGGTCTCAGTGAGGTCGTCATTCAAGGCAATGGAATACGGCTTTCCATTGTCGATTGTCTCGATGGTAGCCAGCGTGATGCGATTCTCTTCGACGAGCTCAGCCAGGCGGTTCATCAGCTTGCCGCGGTCAATGCCGGGCATATCGCGCCAAGAAGGGTTATTCAGAGCAGCGCGAGCTGCCTTGACGGCCTTGTCGACATCTTCGGCGGAAGCTGCGTGGATCGATGTGATTTCCTTGGCTGTTCTATTTCACCACCAGTCAATTGTGACTTTTAAGACACGAAAAGCCAAGTTGTTAATTGCTCACATACGTGGGATTGATGCTGGCAATCTTCTCGCCAGTAGAGCACTTGACCCATTGGTTGTTAATGAACAAGCCGGTGGGCTGGGTCCAACTGTGGCCGTTGGGGGCTGTGAGTTGAACAGATAAATCGGCCATGATTTAGTGTGCTTTGTATTATGAGTGTCTTCTGGGTAGGAAAAGATAGTGAAGCTAGATGAGATCAATTTGTAACTGGATCTAATACCCCATGCTCCGCTATCGAAATTGCAACAAACGCTTCGGCTGGACTTGCCATTCTAGGTAGCTTATCGGGTGCATCACGGTTCAGGTCGACTCCACATGAGAGAGATCAATCTCCGGATTTTTGAGGCTAATAGCGGGAAGACGGTGAATTGTGGGTTGTGGATTAATTTTGAGGCCGAAATCACTGATAAGCTGAGTCGCTAACCCAAACAGGCAAGTCCACCCACGGGCTGTCGCCTTCTTTAGGTAAACGGTATCTGAGAGAAGTTCCTCTGGTAACATGTTTTAGACATCTATCATTTTTTCTACAACATACATAGTAATAGTGAAATTTCCCATATATGATAAAAACTGCCTTGGTTGACTACCTATGTTGTAGGCCAGGGCTCCAGGATTGTGGAGGCTTACATCATCTTGTTGTGGAGATAAGCTTGATTTAACGCCTTGGCATTCCCAACACAGCCCAGACGCATTCTCCCCCTAATTCGTCCGTCAGATCAGATCTTTTCAAAATTAGGGTAGGTCTTGCCTATAAGACTTAACTAATTGGGCCTACCACGAGTAGATGATTGTGGGCACATCTTTCCAAGCCGTTGCAATGCAATTGGCTGGATAATTTCGATGGCAAAAGCCTTCCGCAAAAGATATTATGGCATAAAATCAAAGTCTTAGACAAATGATGTGCAAAGACATATCTTCTCCAGACTTTTATCCCAAATGGAGCAATGGCGAGAGACCCCACTGTCGAGACCATTCACTCACTTTGTCCGAGTTGCCTATTGTTGCAGATTGAGATACTGATTACCCGACTAGGAAGGTACATGCGGGGATTTCGATCAGATATTCAAGGTCCATTGCCTATATAAGGTCAATCGTAGCTTTGGAATAAGAATTTTGGTTTTTCTCCAACTTCAAACCTCCCTCTTTCCCCTGGATACCCCCTGCCACAACACCATCATGGCGTCTGCCCCTGATACCGAGTCAATTCCTGGCTATACAATCTTCCGTGAGGGGGACTATGAAAGTGTTGCCGCTGCTGCCATGCTGCCTAAAGGCACCCCACACCCGTTGGGTAGGATGTACCTTTAATTAAATTCCGAGACTAATGCTAACTCCGGATGCTAGATCAACTTTCCATCAAGGAAATTCCCGAGGCGGCGAAGATCATCCGAGAGTATGCCAACCCCAAGTCGATCAGTTTCAACTGTATCACACTTCGTGAACCCCGCAAAGCGGAATACCGGGCATTCCGTGCTGGTGCCGTCCCAGCTCCTGCCCGTCGTGCGTTCGCCATTGTCATTGTGCGCGAAACCAAAACAATCGCAGAGGTGGTGGCCAATCTCGCCACCGGCAGAGTTGAGGAATGGAAGGACGTTCACGATGTCATGCCTACCCTGACTTTGGAGGATCTTGATGTGATGGAGCGTGTTGCCCGTAAGGATGAACGCGTCATCCGTGCCTGCAAGGACATCGGAATCACCGACATGAGCAAGGTCTTCCTTGACGCATGGGCTATCGGTATCGACGAACGCTGGGGATACGAGCGCCGCCTCCAGCAGGGTCTGGCATACTATCGCAACTCGGAGTTCGATAACCAATACGCTCACCCTCTAGATTTCAGTGTTGTCGCCGACACTGACACGGAAGAGGTTCTCAGCGTTGATATTCGTTACGTGAACGGCGAGCGGACTGCTGCCCCACTCAAGGAACACAACTATCTCCCCGAATTCATTAGCGACAAGTACAACCATGATCGCCTGAAACCGATCGATATCACCCAGCCCGAGGGTGTCTCCTTCAAGGTCCGCGGCAACGAGCTGACCTGGGCCAACTTCAAGATGCACATTGGCTTCAACTACCGAGAAGGTATTGTTATCTCCGATGTGCGCACTCACGACATGTATGAAGATCGCGAGCGCACTCTGTTCAACCGTATCTCCGTCGTTGAGATGGTTGTTCCCTACGGCTGCCCCGAGAAGCCCCACCACAAGAAGCACGCTTTCGATGTCGGCGAGTACGGCACTGGCCTGATGACCAACTCCTTGAAGTTGGGCTGTGATTGCAAGGGTGCCATCCACTACATGGATGGTGTCATGTCTACTTCCAAGGGCGAGGCGGCCGTTATCAAGAACGCCATCTGCATTCACGAGGAAGATAACGGTCTTCTCTATAAGCACACCGACTACCGTGATGGCACTGTGATCTCCGCCCGCGACCGCAAGCTCATCGTCTCCCAAATCATTACCGCCGCCAACTATGAATACGGCTTCTACCACACCTTCACCCTCGACGGAACCTACAAGCTGGAGATGAAGCTGACTGGCATGCTCAACACCTATTGCATGCACCCGACCGAAACTGCCGCTCCCTTCGGCACAGAAGTTGCGCCCTCTATTAATGCCCACAACCACCAGCACCTGTTCTCCCTCCGCGTCGACCCGGAAATCGACGGCCAAAATAACTCCATAATCCAAAACGACGCCGTCTCCGCCGAAGCCGCTGTCGGCTCTCCAGAGAACCCTTACGGCAACGGCTTCTACAGCAAGAAGACCCCGCTCCGCACATCTCTCGAGGGGGCCGCAGACTACTGCTACGAGACCAACCGGTCATGGGACATCATCAACCCAAATCGCATGAACACCATTGCGAAAAAGCCCGTCGCCTACAAGATCCTCAACAACAACTGTCCCCCTATGCTCGCCAAGCCTGGCAGCACTGTGTGGAAGCGTGCTGCTTTCGCCCGCAAGCCCCTCTGGGTTACCCCTTACAAGGACTACGAGCTCTTCCCGGCTGGTGACTATGTCTGCCAGTCTGACGGCTCTGAGGGACACCCTTACAACTCGACCATCGCAGACTGGGTGCAGCGCGATGAAAACATCGAGAACACCGATATCGTCTGCTACCTGCAATTCGGTCTGACGCATTTCCCGCGGACTGAGGATTTCCCTATCATGCCTGCGGAGCCAGTTAGCATTATGCTGCGGGCCTCAAATTTCTTTGAGAAGAACCCTGGTCTCTGGGTACCTCCTTCGGCTATTTGTGTTGATACCCAGTCTAAGAATGCGTTTCCTTCTTCTTGCTGTGCGCCAAGTAAATCTCGAATGTGAGAGAGTGGCAGAGCGATGGCATTGATTTATGGAATGGTGTTTCAAATGGGGAGTTCTTTGGGTTTGCTTTGTCGTACATAGTAAATAGTCACACCCTTCTTTGTCCATATCCGATTGATTTTGATTGACTTTTTTCTTCTGGCTCTGGGTCCTAGTGTTTTATGTATTCTGTTGATAATCTCAGTTAATACAATGAAAACATCACATCTAGCCTTCATTTCATCTATGCATGTGTCTTATGTACTCAAAAGATCTATCGAACACGAAACTTCCCCAGGCCCCTCCATGCCACGCTCAAATAATGTTCTTCAGCTCCTGGCCAGCAAGAAGACGTCTGAGGTTATACGCAATAAGCGCCTCTGGCTCACGCGGACGTCCACCAGCAGCATGAGGCGAGAGAATCAGATTAGGCGCCGCATAAAGCTTCGACTCCTTCGGCAGCGGCTCAGCGGAGAAAACATCCAACGCGGCGCCACCAATGCTACCCTTCTCAAGCGCCTGAAGCAGCGCATCCTCATCAACAGAAGTGCCCCGGCCAACATTAACGACCCAAGCGTGACGCGGCAGCAACGCCAAGCGCTCCGCGCTAAGCGCACCATTGGTACTAGCCGATCCAGGCAGAATCATAACAAGCGCATCGGTCTTAGGCAGAACCTCTTGCAAGCGATCCTCCGCCACAACCTCAAACCCATTCCGCACACCCGTACTCCGCGCAATACCGGTGACATTAGCCCCGAGCGCTGTCAACACGGGTGCGAGGCTCTTGGCGATATTTCCGAATCCCCAGACGGTCACATTGGCACCCTTGAGGGTGCGGAAAGTACCAGGGGCACGGTCAGGCTGGGGGCCGCCCAGATGGGCGGGCCACTCTCCGCGGGACTGGTAATCACGCATTTCATAGAAGCGGCGGGCGGCATTAAGGAGCAGGCCGAGGGTGTGCTCGGCGACTGTTTCGTCGTGCAGGCCGGAGCCGGTTGTGATGGCGATGCGGGAGGCATCGAAGCCCGCACCGAGGACGTCATTTGGGCCGGCTGCGAGTGACTGGATCCAGCGGAGGTTCTTCATGCGGGAGGCTGCGTCGCGGAGGTTCGTGGCTTTGTTGCTCCATGTTACTAGGAACTCGGCGTCGATGAGGGATTCCGGGATGGGAAGTGTGACATCGTAAGGGTGCAATTCGACGGAGAAACCTTCCAGGGACTTTGTGTTGATGTGGAGGGAGGTTGGGTAGAGAAGTTTCATTTTGAGGGTGGACTGGAGGTGGTTGGCTAGAGTCTTGAGGCGTTGGGTGGGTGACATTAAGAGGGGGGGGGGATCAAGGTTCTTATGGGGGAGAGAAGTGACAAAAGTGTTGCAACGCGGGGTGTCTCGGCGGAGCTCCGCCGAGACCGGGGTAACTCCGGGTAGGAAGCACGGATGCGAGCCGCGGGGGTAATCAACGAAAACTATCAACGCGATTCGGTCTCCAAGACTACCTAGATCGGATACTGAATCTTTATAGAATTGAGGATAGGCATCGAAAATGTTCAAAAACTGTACACGTAGTTTGTCAAAGGACATCTTCAGCCCCATTTAACGCTAACCGTATCTACTTTGCACATTGCATTCCATCTTCACAAGTTGTGCTGAGCACAATGGAGAGACAGTCAGGTCTCACAAATTAGGTAGCTAGATACAATGAGCACAATGGGTATCAGTCAATTCAGCCACAGCCTAAGAAAACCCCCCCCCCCAATCTACACAGCGAAGATTATACACAGAAGGAATTATGCGGAGAGAAAATCATCCCCAGCCCCAATTTTCTACCTACGAAGCACCATCTTTCTTGGGCGGAATTTCCGCATCACCCTCGACAGCACCGGTGCCCGTCAAAAAGAACTCGAGCTCACTAGGCCCGCCCTGCGAGTTCTCATTTTCAGCAAGCTGTTCCAGCAAGCTCAGGAAAGGGTCTTTTTCAGACGCGCCCTCGCTGCCAGTTGCGGTGTGAGTGGCGCTAGTTTGAGACTGGGCACCGGGGGTTAAAGCGGTGTGGCCCGACTGCCCCATTCCGTTTAGGTTGGTGTGAGCGGTGTCAAAGGGGAAGGTTGCGTATTGCGGATTTGGGGGCGGTGTTGGTGCTATGTTCAGAGCGCCGTCGGTGAGAAAGGCTGGTGGCGAGAGGCCGAAGGCGCATGGGGAGAAGCCCGGGATGGACAGGTGAGAGTTTTCCGATGGTCCGGCACCGGATAGATCGGTTCCGGGTGGAAGGGAGAATATGGAAGGCAGAGATGGCGATTGTTGCTGTTGATTGCTCGGGATTGAGTGGAATTGAAGAGTTGGTGAAAGGGAAGTCGGGTGAGAGGGCTTCTCTGACACAGAATGCGAATGTGAGTGTCGACGGTCGTTATCTGAGCTCTGGATGGATGCCAATGGACTTAGGGGTCCAGACCGGGAATTTGAGAAGTAGGACGAAGCATTCTGATAGGAAGGTGCGGGTGCTGGTCGTTGGTAGAAGTGATCTTGACGATCAATGAAGTTTGCAGGACTAAATCCAGAGTTAGTGATCATATAGGATGTATGCGAAAGATGGAATCAGCAGGTGCCTTACCTTGGAGCCAGCTCGTCCCCCGCATCTATGAGGCGAACGTGTGATCCATCTAACGTCAGACCGGGATATCGGTCGAGAAAGTCTTCAAGGTGGAAAACCGGCGAGAAACGCATAGGGCTACTGGCAAGATTGCGTACCAATTCGGAGTGGCACGTATAGATAGTCTGAAGCAGCTCACGCTGGTGCTGTGCGCCAGTCCAAATATTGCGCAACCAAGCAAGCTGATTCATCTCCCGAGTCAGAAATTCAGCGCTAGAAGAGAAAACCTCTCCTTCGCGGCCCTTGTAGTGCACACCGTGAACGTGCACAGTTCCTGCTGTGCACACACAGTAGCCGACGAAAGCAGGCCACTCAATCAGCGGAGAATTACGACCCAGTTCAACAAGCTCTGCGATGGCATTGGAGTGCGAGAAACACAAGTTCGTCGCCTCGATTTGCCAGGACTGATGCTGTCCCGTACCTCGGAGCTCTACCAGGTCAATGGGTAGGAACGGACGGTAGATCAAACAGTGCACCAAATGGTAGATCAACTTGCTCAGCAAAAGTGTTGTACTTTCGGGATGGCCGAACAATGCATCGATGGATGCAAAGACGTCCTGCGTACCAGCCGCCCAGATATCCAATTCTTGTCGGATCTTCGATAGATTAGAAAGCGCATGCCATGGGAAGTGGGAGTCGCCCTTGACTCCACCAGCCGCCAAGTACTTATTGGTCACACCAAGAATACGCGTGATATCAATCAACAAAGAGGCCGCACTGGGTGATTTGCGCCGGGAATCAGCGGAGTATTGAATGTTCGGGCCGACATGGAAGAGCTCTCCCTCCAGATTCAGACCAGCTGCGTGTGGTGACCAAGATGGTAGGCGCAGAACAACCGAATGATCGGTGATCAGACATGGACGTCGAGATCCGCAGTTGATGAATCTGTCCATTAGGTAAACAGACCAGAATAGCCGACGCCTCATTTCTCGCTCGGCAGACGCGACATTGGGCTTGGAGGGAGCCTCGTGGTATAAATCCAGAGCGACGATCATGGCCACGCAATTTGCTAACTCTTGTTAGTGACATTCATTCAGCCATTTGGGGTCGAGCGCAAGCATACAAAACGTCATATAAGCTTTCTTCCCCAGCCCATACGCGTAGAAAGCCTGCGAAAGTAGCAATAGAGTCTGGAGTCCTTCCACTGTCGGATTGTCGACATCAATCAATTGTCTTGCCTGGAGCGCCGCATCGAGCCCGGTACGTAATGACTGCTCCATTTGGCCATGCGAGGTTGTGTATCTGAGATTCGTCAGTCAAACGTCAAAACATGCAAAAGCATGTAACCGGACTTGGAAGCTTGGCGGCTTTACCTTACTGTCAGTGCTGAGATAGCCATGGCCAAAGACGGAGGCAATTGGTTCACTTGATGGTACTGTCGCATCGTTGCCTCGTCTATTATATAAAATGGTTTACCGTGTAATCGGTCAAAGTAAATATCGAGGATCGCATCCGATAAAGGACCACTGCTTGTCGGAGAAGGTTGTTGTAGAAGATTGGCTGAGTGGCCGGTCGGCCTAGAGAAGGGATCCGCATGCTGCGAGAGAGAAGTTGACAGAGCCGATCGATCGCTTGAAGAGTAAATACTGAAAGAGGTATCGATGGTGTTGCGACGAGTGGGAAAGCTCGGCGGATCGTCTGGGGTATCGGGGGAAGTGGGCGAAATCGGATTCTTTTCATCGTGGAGTCGTTTCTCCAACCCATCGACCCGTTTGAGAAGAGCTTCTAGCACATCGGTCTTGGGGCCCCGTTTTTTCGGGACGGCATCTTTGGGCATCACAAAATCAACGGTGGAATCATGTGATGTGGGGGGAAACTTGATTGACTTACCATAAAGACATGGGCATTGAAAGACCTTACATGCCTCACAACTCGGTCGCATGCGATTACATTTGATCTATGATGAGTTAGAGATATCCAATCGCACCTCAGACTAACTGGACCGACCTTGCGCTTGCGACAAGATTTGCAGTTCATGGTTTCGCGCGGCTCGACCGTCGCACGGCGGGGCGTGAGACGGTCGATGCTAACCTGGGGACGAGACATGGCACATCTACATGAAAGAGAAAGATGAGAAGAAAGAAAACGGCTAGGGCCAAGAGGGATAAGAAGTTAAACACATGGCTGTGGCGCTTGAACAGAATAAGCCTATACCACAACCAGGGTTGTGGAGGAAAGAAATGCGGAGAAGTGATGTGCCGCCGGAATTCCCCAGTTTGGGCGGACATGGGGATGTTATATACCAGTACCACTGTATTTTGTACACTCCGTCCTCTTCATCTGATTTTTATACGGTCGTTGATTCTTCTTCTGATGATTTTTTTTAAGTTTACTCGACTTCTCACAGAATAACTAAAAACCCAGCCCATTCCTCTTTGGCCTGGATCACTCGCGGAATGAATTTCCTTTTATGGAATACACCCGCCTTACCAACCTCCGAGGATGATCCAAGTACCTTGTGATTGGAATGATGTACTCCGTACAGAACATGGCAATTTACTGGTTAAATCGAGCAAGCTACTGCAACTAATTCTCTACTGCCACACCCTATGAAATCCCTTCAATTTGCCCGAGGTGCCTCCTGAAGAACCCATTGTCTTTCCCTGCACATGATGTAATAAGAGGTACGGAGTACTCCGTACCTGTTACCGTTGGTGGCCCTTGGTACACCTCAAAATCAAATCCCTGATCATCCCCTGAGGCTACTCGATTCGTTACGGAACCTTCATCCTAGTTTTCATTTTAACTTTCGGAACAGATAGTGCTGATATCAAATTAAACTCCGACTGAATGCCCAGCTCTCGTCTCTAGTCTAAATTCCATCTGATTCTCTGGTTGGGGGGGGGGGGGGGGGGGGCGTGGCACGATGACTCTAGAAACCAAACGACCTTGCTAGCCGACTCTTTCTCACTCCACCATACCCCTCGCTCTATCCGCTTTCTCAACACCACGACCATTAACCGTTGACGAACTTTAAGCCCGGCCCGCAATTCGCGTGATTCCAAGACTAATCCCGACATGATACTTCAAAGCGCAGCAATTTACAACATACTTCTAATGGCACATGAGCAATTTGCCCAGGTGTCGTCACCATACCCGCCAGCTCCGGTCACCGCCGTCTTCACCCGTTCCAAGTCTGGACTCTGGCTATGGGGTGGATTCCCATCCTCATCCCCACTTCCACTTCCATCACCATGTTCAACATCAGATCCCGAACCCAATCCAGATACATCTTGGAAGCCCATCAATCCTTCTTCCCCAAGCCGGGCTAAAATCGCCCAGATGTCGTAAAAACCCCACCCCGTTAGCGCATCCCTTGTATTAGGGCAAATGGTTGCCCGACCGTAGACCTGCACCATGGCGTAATTCCACATCAGAGAGACCCTGTATAGAAGTTCGGGGTGATGCAGTGGTCTACTGGGCTAGGGAAGATGATCAAAACTTCACTGAACCGTATATGGTCCGTGGATGCCGGGGACTCGTGTGCAAAACATGTTATGAGAAACGGGTTCGGAATACTGATTGTTTCCGTACGGTACTCCGAGCTGATTCTATCCTTGCTTGGCTTTGCGGGTTTTGGCGCGCAATGTGCCTGCGAGTGACTCTTAAGAGGGGGGGTGGCGGTGCGGGGGTGCTGTCATCGGCTAGTTTTGCTTGATTCGCCAACTCGGTGCCAAGGGTTGTTTCATGGTCCAACACTTGGGAGATTGGGGTGCAGGGCGGGCTCGGGTGATTGTTCAAAGGGAGGGAAGTGGTGAGGATCCCTAGTGGGTGTTGCTTGATGAAGCCGTGGAGAGTTGGGAGGTCCAGAGCTGCCTGATCGGAACAGAAAGGTGTGTTTCGATTTTTGGATTTTAGAAAGGGTAAAATATGGAGAGTTAAAGAGAAACGAGATTTGGGGTAAATGAGGTAATGAGGTAATGAGGGGTTGACGCCGGATCATCTGACAAGTTCTTTCTCTTGCTGCATTTATATTTCGCTTAGCCTTCCACATGGATGCGTTGAACAGACAGCTTCCAATAGTAAAATGGCAGAGCCAAGCGCAGCAGTCCCGACCAGTCACCCTCTGCTAGCTGAGACATGGTGTGCACATCCGAAATACCTCCGTGGTGCAGTTGATCCTACGAAAGATTCATAGAGACAGTGGAGTACCATTTCCCTAGACTTGAACGAGTCATAACACTAAGCATCCAAGGATCTCACAGACGCAGAAACCCCGACGAAAACAGAGCACATGATCCTTACCCCAACCCTCGAAAACAAAATGCCGATCCAACAACATCTATGGCATCAACAAACAAGAGAACAGAGCCACACTATACCTACGTAGGTATGCAGTATACTATACGATGTGGCTAAAACAAAGGCCGCCCAGACGCCATACGCACAAAGTCAAACGGCACATTCTGCCCAACAAGCAACCTCAGCGTCTCAACAGTAGTCCAAGCACTAACATCCTCAACTCCATACGCCGTCCACCCTGCACAAGTAGCAACAGCCAAAGGATCCCCCTTCCTCGGCCCACTCGTAAGGTCAAGATAGACCTTGCCACGAGTCGAAGGCGACAAAGAACGACCATTAACACCATAATGCCTCAGCAGAGGCTGCACCAGCAGCGATTTCTCTGGTGGCAGCGCAGAGACAATAACAAAAGGACGCCCCACCCGTTTGACGGATTGGATTGACGTGAAAGGTTCGAGGCCCACAGCGAGCGGGCCACTCGCTTTAAATCCGACCGTGTAGATTGTGCCAACGGCCAGACTGCGTAGCGCGAAAATCGCTGCCGAGGCGTCGGCTTGGGAGCCAGCGAGAATGATGGCTGCGCGACTGCTGTACGCGGATGGAACGTGTTCGCGCGTCAGAGTTGCACGGATGCCCTTCCAGGCGGCGTTTTCGCCGATGAATCGAGAGGTTCCTGGTGCGGCTTCGCCCGGTGTCATGGCGATAGTGTCGACTAAGCCGATTGCGCGGGCTGCGTCGCTGACGGCGGGGATGAACCCAGTTGTGGCTGGGACTGGGGGGTTGAGGTAGGCGCCGCCGAAGTGCGGTTGTAGGAGGACAGATTCCATGGAGCCTTTGGGGCCGCGGGCGACTGAGGTGAAGTTGTGCGGGAGGCCGAGTTCATTGAGGCATTTCTCCATGAACATTGAGTGTGGGGTTGATCGGAATGAGCCTATGGCGTAGAGCTCGCGTTTGGGGAGTTGGCCCATTATGTGTAGGGCTTCGTTGATCTCCGCTGCTGTGAGCTGCCCCGGGGCGGCAATTATTGGGAGGAGGGGGTGGGTGATTGGAGAGAAGACGGTGTTGAGGGCTCGAGATAGCTGGCCCATTTGGCCCATGTTGACTGCTGACAGGGGGGGGCCGGAGCCGCGGCTTTTGATGGTAGAGCGGAAATATTCTAGTTCGTAGTTCTCCTCGATTGTGTGGACCATGGCGATCATCTTCACGATGTCAGCGTATTTAGCGCTTTCTGTGAATATACGCTGCGCCTTTTCGGATGTCCACTTCCAGGTTCCAGAGAAGTCATGGAACGCAGATAAAATCATACTATGGCCCTTTTTCTCAAATAGCCGGCGTCGGATCTCTTCTGGCAGCCACAGTTCCACGTCGATATACTCGACTCCCCACTGTATCGCTCGCCGCAGGTACTTGTAAAAGAGCGCAGGGTCATCCACCGGAAACTTCCCGTTCTCTCTAGTACAACGAACAGTAAAGATAATCGGCAACTCGGTATGCTGCCGTAACAACATCAGTTGCTGACCAACATACTTCAAACTCGGAAAAGGTGGAGTGGTCCAGCCCTCTGGCACAGGCTCAACAAGCAAATCCACACGGATTTCAACAGCATCAGATCCCACAGACAGGATATCCAAATTCGGCAAAGCAGCGTGCACATCAGGAAAAGTAGTCGAGATAAAATTCGTCCTGGTTTTCGTCCGCAAATCGTCATGCGGCCTAGTCTGACCAAATATTAAAGACAAAAACCGCGATAGATCCCGCCGCAGGAACGGACTCCGCGAATATAAAAACTCATAATCACAGCTCTCGGTGAGCGAGTCGTCCGGCGCAGACCCGCCTTCCACACAATGTGTGTTTACCAGAACCAGAGATGATCGCTCAAATCCTTGGAAGCTTCGCGCTAGGTCGCGCGCTGGTATCCCCACCACCACTGCATTGCTGACTCGTGTGAGCGTCCCAAGAGATGTGTCCGTTGTCCACGATTTTCCCAGAACCTCCGCGACCAGTTGTACGATATGCTCTTGGTTCTGGCAGTAGATGATCACGACAGTCCCCGCGACAGCATCCGCAGTCGGCGCAGTGATGCTTGCAGCTATTTGGTCATTGGGCCCGGTAGCCTTGGCGGTAGAGATAATTGTTGTAGCATTGGAAGGGACGACAATGTCGGCGTTTGCGCTAGGATGGCCCTGGGCTTTCAGGGCGGTGGGGACAGGAGAACCGTTGAGCAGCGGCGTGGCCATGTGCTGTGGAAAGGCTGTCGGAATCATGGCATAGCAGTTGCAACTGTTGTCATAGTTCGTGCTGGCGAGGATCTAGATGGAGGTCGAACTATGTTTCAAGACGGATGGAAATGGGAGTCGGGAAGGGGAGACGGGAGAGGGTGGAATGAGGGAGCGCAAGGACCCAGTGAAGAGGCTTTTTTTGCAATTTCTCAACAGCCAGAACCCAGATAGTGTAACAGGTAGGTAGTATCAGGGCATATATTTTAATAAAGCAATGAAGCAATGAAGGAAAAAGGGAGCGGGCCGAACGAGGCTAGCTCCAAGGTATGGGGTAATTGGGGCAAGTAGAATAAAGTAACGCCAAGTCAATCCTAGGAGGTATTAAACCCAGCCGCGAGGGTAATTGACAGCCATTTGAGGCAACATGGATCGATGGAAGAACTTGTCGCGGCGGTTCCACCCAATGCGTGACTATGGAATCCCACGCAGAAGGCGGACGCGGGGAAAAGTGGGAGCGGCGTTGGGTTTCTCCACCAATCAGCTATCGCATCATATAGTTATACTGCTTATACATGTATGAATTGGAGCTCTATGAAGTGGAATATGGAGTGTGAAGTACGGATATGCTTATAAATCTTGCCATTTGGCACATCTACAACTTTCTGTGTTCATATCAACCCATGCCAGACCCTCAAACCAGCTGGAGGCAGCGGGCTAGCCTCATAACCTGACAGGGGCTTCCACTACGGCGCTCCACTCCGATACGAGGGAAAATCACATTATAAGCCATTCTCTCAGCCTTGACTAGGGTGAATGATCGGCTTTTGGTACAGATTTTACCCAACAGGTTGCATTCGAGAGAGACGGGTAAGCAACGTATCAGACACCGGGATTGGTGGAAGAGTACAGCGATACTTGTACAAGGAACAAAGACGAGGATGAGATGGTCCCATATTCACAATATACACAATAAAACAACGGTCTATGAATTCTTCTTTCTGACCTCGATGCACGAAAAGCAGCCAAAATTTAGTGACAACCTCAAATCCGCTCCGAAAGGGAAATTCACCCAAAGGTCAGGCATGGACCGCGCAGCATTGACAAAGACGACAATTTGACATCGAAAGCATGACCGTTATGAGAAAGGAAGACAGAATCGAGACTAGATTTGCCCAGCAATGTATTTCAAACAACCAATTAAGACACAAGGAGAGAAAATTACCAGCCAAATCAAAGGGGGTATTGGGTAGTAACAGGCAACGAGGAAGAAAAAGGGAGAAATACAGACCGAGAGACAAGAGGAGGGGGGAAAAGGGCAAGAAAAGCAGAGAGGTATTGGTCCAGAGATTAAACATGTGATGGATGTATCAATATCAGGCACACGAATAGTAATCGCCTTGCGAACCAGGATAGCGCTTTTAGGGGGATTGTTCACGGTTCCGTGCATCAAGCCGGAGTCAACACTATGTACGAGGACAGCAACGCAACCGAAGATCAGCGTGTGGACTGTCTGACATCTCTTGAGATGTCGGGTGTGCGCCATGACAGAGCATATTAGGTCAGGTCAGGGAAATAAGTTCAAATAGAAGAGAGGCCAAAAGTGTGCAACCACATGCAGCGTTCCATTTTCGGGGTATTAGCGGGAAGAGAGAAGTTTGGCCGAGCCAGCGGCAGTCATTCTCGGCTTAGATCGACAAACATGCCCAAGCCAAGACACGCAGAAGGCAATGCACAATACAGACTTGTTGATCGTTGGATGAAGCATGGAGTGGGCAACGCCGTCAACCGGGGAAATCGAGGCCCGAGCCGGAGTCAGAAGAAGTTTCAGGTTTCAGACCCGCGCAAGGAAAGAAGAGGAAGTGTTTCGAGAAGGTGAAAATGGCACATGGGTCTCCGTGCAAGACCCACCCGCACAAGGCTAGGGCAGAAAACGACGTGTTGATTAACGGGCACTAGCGTTTGGAATCGCACCAATTAACGCGGCGGAGAGTTACCGAGCCCACCCAACATATTTGGCAGCGGCTTTCTACGGGCAGTGTTTGCCGTGTTAGAAGCCCGTGGAGCACCGTGGATCATGCGGGGATCTGTCATCAGGCTAGTATCTAGGTTTGCCGGTGCTAGAGGGAGATTGTCAGTGAGCGGATTCGATTGGGTGTTGGAGCGTTCGGGCCTACCTCTTGTGGGAACTCTGCCATAGTCGACTGAAAGATTCTGCTGACTGCGGCTAGTTGGAGTGAAGGTAGCGTAGGCTGTGCGCCAGATGTGGTTCGAGGTGTCTGAGAGGAAGTCTGTTGTCGAGCGACCGGAGAAAAGGGATGTGCGGCCGCGATTGCGTTTTGAAAGGACAATCTCATCGAACAGGGTCATGCGGGGGTCCTTGGACTTCGGATTTGTTCGCTCGCGGTCACTGATAAACTCGTTGAAGCCTGGAATTGGGTCAATATTCCCTCCACGGTGCGAGATGAGAGTTTCTCAACTTACCTTGTGTTTGTTGCAGAATTGAGATATACTCGGCATGCTCGCTTGGGAGACTCTTCATAAAAGCCTCCATGTTAAAACTATAATGCATGCCGGACTTCTTCTTAGTGCCACTGGCTGGCGAAAGGAACTTCTTGTACGTGTAGAACAAGCTAGCAAAGCATCTGACAAAGGCTGCGCGGATTTGATCCGGATGGAAGGCTGCATCACAGGGCAGACACACCATTGAGGCGCAGCGGTTATGGACTATCAGTTTGCATGCAGAGCACTTGTACATATGTTCCTCCGCCAGATCATCACAGATAGCACAGGTCAACTTGTCATCCCAGGGTTGGACTTGGAAAAAGTGACCCTCCGCCCAGCAAGTGCCCTCATTATTGCCAGAGGGCTGGTACGTGGATTGAGGGACAATTGTGGACGCAGCGATGGTCGACTGCGCATAGACAGACGGTGCATATGTGGATCCGGCACCATAGTCAGTGTTGAGAGTCGTCACTGAGAGATTTGAAGCATGACCTAGGAACTGAGCACTTGGACGTCGACTCATTCCAAAGGACGAGCTTCGGCGCGAGGCGGCATCGAAATGTCCGGAACGCTTCTCGCGCAATGAAGCCTGCAATGCCATGCCGGAATCATTGCGTGACGAGGAGGATTGTGGAGGAGGGAAGAACCCAGAGGTAGGCGAATTCTCTCTCGGAGATGGCGGAGAGGCATTAGCTCTCATAGTGGAACTGGTCCCTGGGCGCTCACGCTCACTACCACGAGAAGAGTACCCACGAGACGGTCCGGCCTCATTTCGAGCGTGCAGGAAGACGTTGAAAATCGGGGGTGTATAGGAACCTGGCATCACGGCCGTTGCACCAAATGCACTGGAGTTGAGACTGACAAATTTTGCGAGGTTGGTTGCAGGCACCTTGGACGTGAAACTAGCCTTGTTCTCTGACATGAACGAGTCCCACGGGTACGTCTCGATTGCATATGCAGGAGGGCCAGTGGGGACTTGGTATCGACCGTGGTGGGGGGCAGCTAGTTGCAGCAGGGAGAGGAGCTTCCTGCGCTGGTGACGCGGAAGAGAGGTCGGTTGAATAGTACTTTCGATCATATTATTGTCCAAATCTACCAGGACAAAGTCATCCGTAGGCAGCTCCACCTTCTCGTACCGACGCTCAATGCCCACGATGTACGGGCAAGGCGCCTCGAGAGCCTGAATTAAGCGTGCAGGAAGGACGGGAATGAGAACGCCTGTCCATTCCAGAGGGAATAAAAGGTCAACCAACGCTCTGGTGGCGAGATAGAGCATAGAGGTGTGTGAAGATAAGAAGATGATACGGGATTCAGTGAGAGCGTACTGTGTGTGGTTAGCAGTAGCTCTTGCAAACTGAACTGGCAAACCAAGCCTACCTCAAAGAGAATGATAATATTGGGAACCGACAACGTTCGGAATAAGGCATAGAGATCAGTCTGGAAATCAGTCAGCAAAATTTCTGACAGAGAAATCAATCAAGATTGCGGTGCACATACGTTCCGAGAACCAGGGATCTCATTGGGTGCCTCTTTGCGCGCGAACAACCGCAGCTCACGAATCACAATCTCGACCTGAGTTTTCGAGGAAATTGGACAGAACGCTTCTGTGCAGAGATTCATGACATATCGCTCCAGCGGCTGCCATAAACCCATGCGCGGAGAGGGCGGGGGCACATGCCGTATACTTCCCTCCGTCATGGGCACCACGATAGCCTTGAGCCATTCCTTCCAGAAGCTTGTCATCGTGCTCTCTCGGCCCAAGATACCGTACGCACGAGGGATCCAGAACCCGGTATCACCATCGGTCAGACCCTCGATCTTGGAAGCTGCGCCGTGTCGGACTGGACGGAGGAGATCGGTCATTAGCCCAATCTTCTCCTCCACAGCGCTGATTTCATCTTCGAGCTGTTCGCGGGATTCAGATCCTGACGGGACAGTCGGCAGCTGGGCGAGAAGCCGGGATAGTTTGGCTCGCTCTGATGCCAATCGTTCGCCCAAGCTTGAAGCCAGCTCACGCTCTTCATCCGTCATGTTAACCTTTCGCCATTCCTCGCAGCGCTTCTCGAGCTCCTCCGCGGCATTTTGGTTGAGGGGTATCCAGATCAGCACACAGATGGCATGCAACCTGGAACCGTTGTCTGTTGTCATGGCGAATCCGTGCCAGGTAGAGCGCGGTCGCTGATCAGAGGAGACGATGTTGACATCATTCGGAAAGGCGAACATAGGGACGTAGTCGGGGAAATTGCCGCGCAGCTTCATCTCATCCGGCATGCCACGTGTGGGGTATCGGTCGAGGAGAACGGGCTCGAATCGTCGTTTCAACGGGTGCATTGTGGTGGAGATCTCGAGGGGTTGTGGAACAGGGATTACCGAGTTGTAGTTGCTAAGTCGCCGAGAAGTTCGCACCGAAGCTGAAGATAATCCATTGTTAGCCAGTGCATCCACAGACAGTCCCGAGCATGATCCCGTTCCAGATTGAACGGAAAACAAAGATAGATAAGAGCCCTCACCTTGACGAGCAATCGATGGCTGCCGCTTCATGCTATTCATATCCCGAAAGGATCGTCGCACGCTCCCAATACCCGACCTCAGCAAGTTGCCGCTAGGCGATGGCGAATCCCCAGAGACAATCTTCTGCGTGCGAACCCTGGATCGCGGACGGGTATTCGAGGTAATAGCGCCAGCGCTCAAGCTCAGATCGGTTAGAAAAGATTCCCGCTCGTTGGCGAACTTGAAGAGCGCGGAGTCGAAATCGAAGTCCTCGGAGAACAAAGCTGAGGCATGCAGAGGCGACGAGGCACCCTTGACGGTCATGCTGCTCCGATTACTGTTACTGCCACCAACTGTTCTCTCGGAAGTCTTTGAAAGCGTGGATAGTCGTTGGGCAGAGCCCCTATGACTGGTGCCGGTAAAAAGCACTGAGTTTGGCCGGGAGACCCCATCCGAGTTGTATTCCTCCTCCGCATCGGCGTCCTCCTGAATGGTTTCTGCGAGCGCAGGGCCGGGAGATACGACACCATTGGCACGGTAATCTTCGCCCAATCTCTGAAAGGTCTCCAGAATCTCTGTACCATCCACACCGGCAATCCAGAAGTAATCGGCGAGGGGAGCACCCTCCGAGGTGCTTGACGATGGCATTGTGGAGAGAGTCACGGCGGACTGTAGCAGGTTAATACCTTGATAGTCACCACATGGATCGCAAGATTTCCAGGAAAGGGAATGCGCAGAAGAGTTGGGCGCATGTAGTTTTCGCGAGGGGAATACGCTGATAAAAAATGGGGGAGAACGGGAGGGAGGGGCAGTTCAGAGTGAAGATCAATTTCGGGGGTTTGAAGGTCAAACTTATTAAAAAAGGAGTTCAATTCAGATGATCTTTTTTATTTGTGTATTCTAGGTATATTATTCCTACCCAAATATTTTCCCTACCTTCTATCATATTTTCTGTGGTTTTTTTTCTTTGGGTTTTTTTTGGGGGGGGGGAGGGGTTTTCTTTTCTTTTTCCCCCTAGGATCGCGGGTGGTTGCGTAGGCGTGTGGTAAAATGTCACTAGAACCCGAGGACATTTGAATGTGCGCATATCTTCTACTCCACTATGTAAATGTGGTAAGAGTTGCCCGTTCTAAAGTCCAAAAAAATTCTTCACAAAAGCCAGATAGCCCAGTCAATTCAGACAAATCAGTCAAGGGCCCGGACCATTCACAGCCCTAGCATCAATGCACTAGAGTCTTGACACCGTAGCAACCTGCAGGCTTGTGCAGGGTGGCTAGACTCTAAAGGGATCCAGACTTCCGGGGTATATTCGTAATACAGGTACATAAACATGCCTATATCAACTGCCATGTATGTGTGAAGTTTTGTGTAGGTCTTTCTACAACGAGGTTCGCCTAGAGTACCTTATATAGATGACTTCCAAGGTTCCCAAATGAAAAATCCAAATCCAAGAAACAAACTGTTAAATCAGCCCCAGGGGGTAAGAGGCCCGTGATTCATAGTTGAGCTTCAGCGGATAATGCGGGTCTTGGCTGATCCTTTTCTTAACCAGGTTCGTCAACTGCTACGAGTGTTTTTCTATTGAGACATTTAAGACGTTTTTCTTAGGGGTCTTTAGCTTAGTACAACGCCACAATGTCATTCTTTCTTATATCTGACTTTCAGGGGGTGAGATTATCGGGAACTGCCGAGGTTCTGGGACTTTGGAGGCTATTTTTACCGTGTAGTCCCTCGTGGGAATCTTCTTTTTTAGATTGCGGAGTCTGCTTAACGGCTTTCTCTTCTTTTCTTCTCTTTTTCTTTGCCCTCAAACATGGACATTCTACCACACCTCTTCCTTCAATCGCATACAGTTGTCTTGTTGTGCACGACATACTTTGTATCAAGTTGTAAATACGTTGAATTTTGAGTCAGGAGTCACCAGGTGGAGTGGCTTGTCCCGGGGAGATGATCGATACTAGAGTTGGACAATGTGGAGCACCGAGTGGTGAAAGAAAGTATCGTTTAACTCCACAGTTGTATCAATTTCCACGGTATCGATTTTATTAGAAAAAATTCAAAAAAAAAAAGGAATCTGATAATATAGATAAATCCTACAGTTCGTTCCAGTATCAGCATTCCCCTGGTACCACCGAGGATCTCTAAATTCAAAGTACTATATCTCTAACTAGCTACCTGGGCACCATCTGATGACAAGCAGTCTAAATCCAATAGACTAACTCCATATGGAGTATGGTGTATATGAACACTTATCTATTCAATGCCCTGATCACAGCTGATACCCGCGTTACGTGACACAGGGGGCTCCCCTGCACCGATAGCCCTTTTCGACTGGTCGCATCCCAAGATTTTAGGCAAGTTCATCCAAACCATCTCCCCGTGCGCATAAATACATGCATACACCCAATGCAGTCAACAGTACCATTTAATGTTGGAGAGAAGAAGCGGTGGAGCAGATCAACGGATTATAGCCTGAATGCCTATAACTTCACAAACAAAAAGGAAAAGATTATAGACAAGACCGTGAGTGATCCTAAAATAGAACCTAGTCAGTGAGACTTAGATTGCAGATATCTTTGAGATCGGGCAACCCATTGAACAGCTGAACCCGATTGACCAGCCAGAGTCTAGACTCTTTCTATGCCTAGGTAACTCCATAATTTTGAATCTGGACTCCGAGAGACCTTTAAATGTACACCTACCCGAAATAACATTTCTACATGTAGCATCCCGTAAACTACGTGGCATTGGGCCGAGGATAAATTCCCGTTTTCTTTCTCTTTTTGGTCTCTTTTGTGCAAGCCCTATGGGAAGTAGCCAAGGCCCAGCCGAAGTCTGCAAAAATCCAGAGCTTCCTTGCCGAGAGGTAACTGCAGTGCGACAATACAAATTAAGCGTCGGCTGCATGGCGAGGCTGGTTTCCGCTCCGTACTAGTGGCGTCAAAGGGCTCAAATGTACCGGACTCTATTCCAGAGCCTCAGGCAGTCCTCGGGCCTACATAGATTGTGTGGGTCTATTCAGAGCCCGATATTTTACACTGTACAACCCCCCTAGTTGAGGACGCTGCTGCCAATGCCAATAGTAATATTGTGTAAGTGGGCCAGTGGGAATGTGTACAAGCCGCCCTTACGGCGTCCTCCATGCAACCTGTCGGCTGGTTGCACTAAAACACATCGGCACCCATATCGTGATACAGAAGCGGAAACGATCCGGTGGGTTGGTTGCACACCGCGTTTCAGGCACGCTTCCGGCTCATCAGGTTTCCTGTCGTCAGGAACCCCTTGTCCCCCATAGCTCCGCGCCATTCAATCGACAACTGACCCAGCGTAGCACGACCGTCCCGTCGCAGGTCCTTCTGGAGAGTTTCAAATCCCTCGCTCTGGCCCTCTTCTTGTTCCACCAAAAATGCTACCTGTAGGACATCCCGTGGATTCAGAGTAGGCAGTGCCGCGGGTGACATGTTTGGGTTCATTGTATCCCAATTTAGCGATTTTGATCGGAACGGTGGCTTGGGATTTAGTTTTGTTTGCTATCCATCCCCCGACGTTAGCCAATTTGTTGAGCATTTCCGGCCCAGTTAGATCTTCAGGTACAGCCGCGCTTCGCCGAAAAAAAAAATCCCTTCCTTTGCTAGGGATTGATAGGAAATTCATACCTTGACTACCACGGCGCCCTCGCCCACGTTTTCCAGTTGTGCCTCCAGGGCAAACCGGAGTAACCTCGTTTTCCCGTATGGTCCGAGTGACTTGTTATCGACCTCGAGCGGTGGAAGTTCGGACGCCTTCGTCCGAACGCTCAAACAGGGCTGTGACACAAACTGGTATAACTTGCGGAAGGTCCTGACCCGGCCACTAGCTGCCTGCGAGTCTGAGCCGATCTTTGTCTCTGTGTAACTGACACTGACAGCTAGTATGTGATTTCCTTCTTCCTTCAAATCAAACCGTACGATCTTTTGTAATGACTCGCCGATCCTAAGCCCGTCTGTGGATGCAGAGTCGTTGGGTGGTTGCAGCTCCAGTGCTGCAACCGACGAAGGTGTCTGCATTTCTGCTAAAATGCGCACCGATGTGAGAATTCTCTCGTTGTCATTATCATGGATCTCATTGTTCGCGCTCAGGGTGCATCCGAAGGTTTCTCCGACGTAGACAGATCCGAAGGAGGGAGGTAGAGTAAGCTATTGCCGTCAGTGAACATTTTCTTGGAAGTGCTTGGTCACATTCTTACAAGAGGCGTTAGAATGAATTGATCGTCGGAGTCACCGGACGGATAGCTTAGTGAGGCTTTCGAGGAGATTATGGTGTTGGACGCGGGGAGAGGATGCTGATAAGAAAGTGACGGCCGCGCAAGGCTGTGTATCAAGAGTCAGGAGCTGCCATCAACACCACTGATATATGTATTTGGAATTACCGCAACACTTTTCAACTCACAATTAGCTTGCTGGTCAAATTATGGGTTATCTTCACATACCTTTGAGGGAGACCGCATGTGGTTCCTTCGGAGCATCAGCGCCCGATAGAGCCCGTGGACGTGACATGGAGAATAGGTTTTGCTATCAGTTATGGAAAGAGATAATGAAAATGAAGCAAAGAATTAGCTGCAGTCTGGGGCTTTGCAGTATATCGTCATCTTGTCGATGAAGAGGGACAGCCCACAGTTCTCCACGAGCTGATAGCGATAGGGAAGCTACCCCAAACAAACAGTGCAAACACCTGCTGTTTCCCAAAGAGTGCGAAAGGTTCCAGTCAATGGTCTCTTCTGACTGTCTGGCCTTACATGGATGCCGCTCAAAGGACTGAACCTCTAAATCCATACCTATAGACATATGTAGAGCCTTTGATTGACATCATATCTTTCTGAGAAATCGAGCATCTACTTGCCAATAGGGATGGAGCTTCCAAGAACTCTTCAGGGCTAAAAACATATCGACACGTCCATATTATAGGATCTCTGCCCGCTCTCAATTTCTCTCTTTAATATCCTCTCCTCTATAGGCCACTGTAGTAAATTTTGATCCACAACAATGACAATCCTAATGTGAAAGGGGGGAACTAACATGGCCAACGTGCTGAGAACAAGGACCATTCATATCTTCGTGGAAATTCATACAAGGTCATTTAATATTTCACGTGCTTGAACCTATTCCTAGAATTTGCTTGCCACAATATATGCATAATACACTATTCAGTCAACTTCTTCGAGATTCTATCTTTTCATACTCTTGTGAAATACCCATGTCCGAAAGTTTCTGTGAATCCAAAAGATAGTAAACTTCCTGCCCTCCCGGGCTGCCTGCAAACTCTGAAAATTGTGACAAAAAGGTCGACTTCATTGTCAAATTTGCCAGTCCTAGTAACAAGCCTAGGGCCAAGAATCCAATCCAAGTTGCAAAAGCGCACTTCGTTCAGTGCATCCAACCATGTCTGAGAAACGCGCACTTCCATGGCTAGATTCACCTCCCGACGGGTTCTTTGAAAGATTTGCACACATTGAAGGTCGATTGTAAGTAAATATTGACGAGCATGGCATACTTTGATTGGCTGATCACCGTCACGCTTAAGCATGTATATGATTAGACACAATGTCGACGAAACCGCGAATATACCAAAAATGACGTTTGAAGTTGTAGGGTCTACTGGCAATATCTACAAAACGAGCATTGGCAACGTCCCTACCTGTGACTGTCCGGATGTCAGATTCCGGAAGGTGCAGTGTAAGCACATCTGCTTTTCGCTAATATATTGCCAAGTCCTACATGCAATGAATGTTGCTCAGGAGCTACGAGAGATGCTTGCTGCTTTGTCCTTGAAACGAATCCTGGACAGGACCACCCTTACTACCACCGGCGAAAGGAAGCCTATCGAGGGCGAATGCCCAATTTGTTTTCATGATTTCGAGAACAAGGAGATAACTACGTGGCGTCAGTTATGCGGCAGCAATCTACATGAGACTTGCTTCAAGGTGTGGGAGGCCACTGCGCATGCATCCCACGATATTGTCCGTTGCCTCTACTGGTAAGTAAAGATCACCTGTCCAAGTCTTAGTGATAACCTGAAACTCAACGACTCCGCATATATAGCAAAGCCTTGTGGAAGGGCGATGAACGCGAAATGCCCCATCCCTGTGGAGAGGTCGTTCGAGCCAAGGGAGTCCGTAGCCCAGGGCGATATTTGAACGTGGGCGACGAGTAGTCACTGAGTGCCATGGCTTGATCTGTATGTTTTTGCCTGAAGGGTACATCCCACATCTTGACCTCTGGCTCCTCAGAGTATGTGCTTCTTCGGCTGAAACAACCGACCTGCCTCTATGTGCACCTCTATAGGTACATGAGATCGAGGAATGATTTATAACGGAACGATATCTTAGTGTGGTCTCTTCTTATCATTTGGTCTTCTACTGTGAGTTGGTTTGTCATTGGGAATGGGATAAGGCGTGATATGTTTTGAGAAGTTTATTATTGAAAGACGGTCACTCTTAGCTGGTGCAAGCTCAAGCATGAACTGCTCCATTACTAGGCCTAGAATGATGAGAGCAAATTTGTGTGTTGTTTCATCGGAGAAATGCTGGTGCTGTGAGTTCGGAAATGTGGTGTTAAGCGCTAGAATGGGATAGAGTTTTGTTCTTTTTACAATCTTCAATGTCGAGTGTAGACCACATTCACTTGCTATTGCACTCGGTTGGGAAATCTTAAAAAAAAAAATCCAATCTCAATAAAGCCAAATCTGACAAAAAAGCAACAAAAATGAACCATTCATCTGAAGTCTGGGTATCATATCAAAGCCCAACAGCCCAAGAAACAAAAAAAGCACCGCGCTTCTAAACTCCCCAACACCCAAGAACACCAAACATAGATTCTTCTATAATTCCTTTTGAAGCTTGTGACCCTGTCGAACAGTCGCAACACTAACTCCTTCCTCGCCAGTCATCCACGATGGCATACGCCCAGGGTCAATGATGCCTAGCTCGGCAAGTTTGCGAATCCCGTTTATGACATCGGAGCCAGAGAAAGTGAGTGACACGGCAGGTGGCGTGGACGTAGAATCATCAAAATCATCATCCTGTTCAAAATTGCAGCCTGGGTTATCGAGCAATCGGATATCAAGGAGGTCCAGCGGTGCCGGGGCGATTGATGACCCCAAAGTTCCGAATCGGGAGTGGATGGCCAGACGGCGTTTCTTGGAATCTGGAGAGACGATGTCTGGATCTATACCGCTGGACCTTCGTCTGATCATTGAACCGCTTGTGTTTTTTTGGCCTTCTGCTGGACCAGAATGACTCGCTTGAATATGCTCTTCGGGCGAGACTGTATTAGAAGGTCGAGGGTCCAGTGGACTTCCTTCAATGGCTGCGTCCGCGAAGATGCTGAAGGCGCCATTTGATGCCGTTGATCTTCCCGGGCCGCGGAGGGCTAGGAGTGTAGGCAGATTCTTTGCTGCCAGGGATGTCGCCTGCAGAGAGAATCGTTCCTGTGGGCGGGATAAAGCCTTGGGAATGGAATCGCGTACCAGACGCTGAAGAGTTCGAGTATCAGTAGCAACTGGGCTTGTCGAAGGAGCATTTTTCGATCCGGTAGATGATGTTATGGAAGTGTAGACGTAGGGGCAACTATCCGGGAAAGCGACGTAGATGACTCGGGACGAATCAGTGAAGATCCCGGCTGCTTGCCTAGGGGATTGATATGGCGAGTCAATGACAAAGATACGAAGGAATGTCAGCGGCAGTGTTGCCGAGTGGGCGAGGTGGTAATGTGCCTTGACCAATGGGGAGATTTCTCGTTGGAGGCCTTGTACAAATGTTGCCGCTTGCATGCGCGGTACGGAGCCAGACCAGTCAGCGAGTGGAGGGTCCTTGGAGTTCTTGCGCTTTTTATCAATACGGCTGAGCTCGAGTGCGGTCCATCGAAGGCTGGCGGGGTGGTCATCTATGTAGCGGAGGTCTGCCATGGCCAGCTGGCGCAGTGTGATTCCATGCCGCCAATCCCCGTCTAAGATTCGTTCGAGAACCTCACGCTTTGCACCCTTTCGGTCCCGTAGGTCTTCATATACTTGGCGGACTTCCTCAATTGTCTCCCCAGCGGGGTAGGGGAGGGCTTCGTCATCGTCGGGGCCATTTTCTTCGTCGGTCTGGAGGTATGGTGGAAATGAGGCAACGTTTCCATCATCGAGCCATGTAAGTACCAGGTCCAGTAGTGCTTGTCTGGATAGTTTTCCCAGGGATTTTGTGAGAGACGGAGTCGATGAGGGAATGCGGAGGTTGTTTGGAAGACTGGCTGTTGTCGGTGCGCGAACTGTTTTAGGACGCGCCATTGCAGTGATTGACAAGGTATGGGCGCAATGCTTGGGAGTGATCAAGATTTTTTGGTATCAATGGCAGGTGCATGCCTCTGGATCCATATCTTGATCTGCTCCCGTGCTTGTCCAAAGTTCTTTTTGTGTCCAAATTCCAAACGACCAACAACAAACATGCACGTGCCGATAAGCTGATAACGTATTTCACTACCGAGCTGGCCAAGCCCCCGAGCTGGCCACCCAACCAAAACGCGTCCATGAATTAGATCTTAGTTAGTTCAACCACCCACCATGCCACCAATTCGTACTCAATCCTTTCCAAATTCAATAGAGTATGAGGGTAGGATCTTACTAGCTATCCAGGCTTTTAAGAATAAAGAAATCTCTTTAATATGTGAAGTGGCGCGCCGTTTAAACGTCCTAAGATCTACCCTTTCTGCCCGCCTAAATGGTATACCACACCGCGCGATTTCTCGTGCTAACTCTTATAAATTGACCGATACTGAAGAGGAATCTCTTCAGAAATAGATCCTCTCTATAGATCTATATAGAGTAGCCCCCCTGTCAGGGTGCGGGCTGGCAGGACGGTATGATAGGAGATGACTGGTAGGAACAGGTCATAACAGATCAGATTCCCATTGACAGGTACAGGCAGGGGCAGGCTATTATACAAGACGTAGCTCGAAGAGCTACAACAGGATCTAGAACTGAAGTTCAGATAAACAGGTCGGATATCACGTGCCGTGATCTTCCTCTTACTAAGCATCACGGTTCGCACCGTGACACCCCCGGCCCTCTGTGACGATCTAGGAGGATTTCTGCCGGAAGTTTCCGTATTGACGAGGTTTGCATTGTTTGATTGTTGGATCGTGACAGGACCCCATAAAAGGTTCCTGTCTCGCAGGTTTCTTTCTTTCTTTCTTTCTTCTTCTTTCTCTGTACTTAGTATTCTCGTTGAAATGCACTCTTTTGTTTAAAGAACTGGCTGGTAACATAATACTAAGTACCACTTCCATTTCCAACAAAGCAGTACGACTGTACAGACCATCATTGTGATTGGTCTCGGTCCAGCTTTACCCCACTTTCGTTCCTTGGCATCGTACAAGCCAAGACCTGACCTGAACTGAACCCGAACCCGAACTTGACATTCGACCAATCAGAATGGCCGGATCGAAGAGATACCCGACGAACCGTGGCAAGCAGCCGGTTACTGATTTGCCTGAAGGTGAAGAAGAATCCGTTGAGCAGGAGATTGTCGCTGCCCTCGACCCGAATACCCCGACCCCCGAACCGCAGAGACCAGTTGATGCTGGTGAACATGATGAAGATGATGGTAATGGAGAAGGTTCCTTCATTCGCGAACGACTGCAGAAGACCCCGACTCGTGAACGATTTCACGAACTCGCCCGCGAGTACCAGAACTTGAAGAAGAAAGTCCAGGAATTAGAGGACGAAGTGACGGTCCTACATTCCGATAAGATTGAAACCGAGATTGTTATCGAGTCGCTCACACAGGAGCGAGATGAGGCGATTGCTCATCGAGACCTTGCAGTTCGTGAGAGGGGTGATCTTGCATTGCGTCTCGTGAATTTACAGAACCAAGCTGGCGCACCGATTGTGGAGGCCACCGCGACCCGAAAGACTACAAAGATGCCGGATACTCCGATGTTTAGCGACGGTAAAGAAGTCCGATTTGAAACATGGGAAACCGTGATCCGACAGAAACTCGAAGCGAATACCGACCACTACCCGTTGCCTATACACCGTAAGCTCTATGTGCAGAGTCGTTGTGAAGGCAAGGCTCAGTTGCATATTGCACCCCGAATGAGTTCTGATTCAAGTAACGCATACGTGGACGCCGAGGATATGATTGTCCATCTAAAGACTGTCTTCGCGAATCCGAATCGACGTGCCGAAGCCTACACCGCATATCACAAATTGATAATGACGCCAAAGGATCACTTCACCGATTTCCTTGCTGAATTCATGCAGCTTGCTGAAGAAGCTGCCGTGATTGAAGAGAACCGTAAACGTGACTTGTAATCAAAACTACCATACCTGCTCCAGAGCCAGGTGATGTGGGCGGTCAACCAGGATATGGTTACGTTTGAATCTTTCTCCAAGACTTTCCAGAGTATGTCTCACGAGATCAACCTTTAACAAGAAGCAAAGACCACTTCCCGTTTACGATCCACTGCTAGTCCTGGTTGACCGCCCACATCACCTGGCTCTGGAGCAGGTATGGTAGTTTTGAGTACAAGTCACGTTTACGGTTCTCTTCAATCACGGCAGCTTCTTCAGCAAGCTGCATGAATTCAGCAAGGAAATCGGTGAAGTGATCCTTTGGCGTCATTATCAATTTGTGATATGCGGTGTAGGCTTCGGCACGTCGATTCGGATTCGCGAAGACAGTCTTTAGATGGACAATCATATCCTCGGCGTCCACGTATGCGTTACTTGAATCAGAACTCATTCGGGGTGCAAAATGCAACTGAGCCTTGCCTTCACAACGACTTTGCACATAGAGCTTGCGATGTACTGGCAACGGGTAGTGGTCGGCATTTGCTTCGAGCTTCTGTCGTATCACAGTCTCCCAGGTTTCAAATCGGACTTTTTTACCGTCGCTAAACATCGGAGCATCCGGCATCTTTGTTGTCTTTCGGTTCGTAATGGCGTCCACCATCGGTGTGCTGGAGCTACTCTGGTTCTGGGGATTCACAAGGCGGAAAGCAAGATCACCACGCTCACGGATAGCGATATCCCGGTGGGCGATCGCTTCATCTCGCTCCTGCGTGAGCAACTCGATAACAATCTCGGTTTCAATCTTGTCGGAATGTAGGACTGTCACTTCGTCCTCTAATTCCTGGACTTTCCTCTTCAAGTTCTGATACTCGCGGGCGAGTTCGTGAAATCGTTCACGAGTCGGGGTCTTCTGCCGTCGTTCGCGAATGGAGGAACCTTCTCCATTACTATCATCTTCACCAGCATCAACTGGTCTCTGTGGTTCGGGGGTCGGGGTATTCGGGTCGAGGGCAGCGACAATCTCCTGCTCAACGGATTCTTCTTCATCTTTG